TTTTTTTTTTCTTTTTTTTTTTTTTTTTTTTTTTTTTTTTTTTTTTTGTAATTTTTGTATTTCCTAAACACACAATTATATAACCTAAACCTTTTGCTTTTTGCTTTTATTGCTCTTTCTTCAGTTAGGTAAGGCCCATTGTAGGCCTTTGTGACCTGCAGTGACGGTGGTCAGTTTGTCTCGTTATCTAAGCCTTCTGCAGCCCTGGGTGTAGCGGCCAGTACCAGGCCCAGCGTTTACAGTAAGCATTGCTGTGCAGGAGAATGTCCTTCAGAACCGTATCTGGAGAACTGTCAGGGATCTCACTGTGGCCCTGTGGTATTTCTTAGTTAACACGTTTAATAGGAGCAGGTAGAGACCAGAGTCTCCCTCTGCTCGTGCTGTCAGCGCAGGTGTCAGCATTCCGGCTCCCCTCCACTACGCAGAGGGCCCCAGGGCCCTGGCAGTCCACCCCTTACGGCAGCGCCTCACCCTTCCAACGTGGCCCCAGAGACTGTTCATTTAGTTTATAGCATAGATTTTTTTTTTCCTTTTCTTTTTGAATCACAGCATGAATTTGTTTCTAGGAAAGTAACTTTAGAATAAAGTCATTTAGTGAGACCTTTTTTTAAAAAAAATATTTATTTAATTTATTATTGTTATTATTTTCATTTGACCAGAAAGAGACAGAGAGAGAGAGGGAAAGTGAGAAAGTCAGCTGCCAGGTCCGGGACTCACACCGCAATCAGCCATGTGGGAGTCTAGGACCTTAACCACAGTGCCACTTGCTGGCCTCAATTTGGTGAGAACATTTTAGTTAATTAGTGTAAAATTGATGGCAATAAAAAGCTCAAGATTAGTAAGGAAAAGCACGGTGACTAATCTCTGTCCCTTGCCATTACAGTTACTTTATGAGAAGTGGTGGGGTGTGTGAGTAACCGAGTGCCTAAATTCGATACTCTGATGTTTTCTTTCCAAGCAGTGTCTCCTAACTACTGCTGTAAATGAGTAATAAGACCTGGCTTACTTTATTTTAAAATACCTTTGATTATTAAGTTGGAATGTGAATATTTAGACTGGAAGTAGCAGATTTAAGACGTTATTTGGCCGTGGGATTAACCCGCTCTCATCCCTCTCCCTTCCCCTGTGATCGGCTTAGATTGCCACCGAGGAGCCGCTGAATCCCATTAAACAGGACGTGAAGGACGGCAAGCTGCGCTACGTGGCGAATGTCTTCCCTCACAAGGGCTATATATGGAATTACGGTGCCCTCCCTCAGGTGACGTTTCTGTTATCATGCTAAAACTTGCCTGTCTTGTGAAAAAATTGCCTTGTAAATCCTGTGAGCTACTCGAATTTAAATTGGTTCTGAGGATGTGTCGGTATGAGAGATTTGTAAATTTGAAATTTTGTAATGTGGAATTTTATCGTATCCATAAATTTTGTTTCAAACCATTTATGTGTCTCCACTCCAGTTTTGGGCTTAGGTACCTAGAACATTCACAGCTGACGTTTCAAACACATTTCTTTTTCTGAGCTTGGCTATTAAGTGTCAGTGAAAAACTTTTAAGCTAGACTTTATCTGCAGTCATTGCTGTGAACACAGTAAGTTGTGTTTATATATTTGTGTGCGTGGATGTATGTACATGTATGTATGTATATGTGTGTATGTAATACATACATGTGATAGCCCTGGTTTGATTTTTAAGCTTTAACGAATGATTCTTTTACTAGCTATTTTTTTTCAGAACTCATTGTAAATTGACTTAGGCAACTCATGTTTGCTGTCAGTTTTGTAATATTTAGGTGGGAGACAGTGAACGTGAAGAAAGCAATTGCTAAACGACGACAAGGCAGCTTTCCTGTTGGAGAATAACTTCCTATTTGCCTTTTTTGCTTTCTTACCCTCTTTTTTTCTTACTCTTGGGAAGTGCTTACTTTCAGATTATTTAGTGAGCAAACCTCAGAATATGTTGAATTAAAATCTAGGTTTGGGCCCGGGACCAGCAGATGGTGTAATGTCTACGTCGCTGGACTCCCATGTAGTCGACCATGGTTCGAGTCCAGGACCTGGTGGCTTAAACTCAGGCCAGGTGCATGAGCGTGTGTGCCCAAGATCCTGAGAGGAGAATGGAGGAGAAGGGATTGCGGGGGGGTGATTTCTCATTTTCCGTTTCTGTCTGTCTCTCTCTTTTTGGCAAGCGCACGCGCTTATAGCATAAACCTCTCCAAAACAAACAACAAAAAAATCTGGGTTTGGAACTATAAAGAATGTATTACTTTATGTTTACAAAGACCGTTCGCCCATTTGTCTGCCTGGGCATTTTGCTTTTATGTCCTAATTCATCCTAATGTTTTGCATGTCCTCTAAGGCGCTCATGGGGAAATATCTGGGGGGCTATTTTACCCACCTGGAAGCAGCAGCTGCCCTGCAGAATAAACAGTTCACAGAAGGGAGGAAAGAAAGCTGCTTTCTGGAGAGCCGGGCTGCCTTGACGCCGGCAGACCACCCACAGCATAGAATTCTTGGTTAAAGTCGCTTCTAAGTGATGTGCTAAGAATGAGCATGTCTGCTGAAACCGTGAAAACAGGTTTTCCCACTCCCCAGGTGCCCACGTAGAAATTCTGTCGGGCCCAACAGTGAAAGGTTGAAACAGTCCTGCGAGTTGTGGGGATGCCTTCCATCCACAGGAGAGGATCTGGGGTCGTGGGGGGCGGAGAAGCCACTGAGTTAGAGACAGAACGTGGAGCAGGCGGGGGACACGCATAGACACACACGCTGATGTGTCTGTTTATTGCTTTAAACGTTTACGGGGTTTATACACCAGCAGTGTAGTAGGCGTTGGGACACAGAGATAGGTGAGACACAGACAGGAGTGGGGGTCACGCAGCGAGTGTTCTTCAGTTTATGAAGGAAAACTAGTTTTATTCGCATAGAAGTCATTTAAAGAGTCGGAAGTGAATTTCCAGCAGGGAAGGCTAGAGCGCAGCTCCATTGCGGCAGCAGAAGCGTGGTGAGGGACGTGGCGGCTTAGGCAGGCGGTGGACACGCAGAAGCAAGGTCTGGCTGGCGGCAGTGGCCGGCTGCGGCTCCCAGGATGAACGTGAGCTCTGTCGGGACTGCACTTGGAGGATGAGGTGTCTGGGAAGACGCCCATTCCAGGCAGGACTCCACAGACCAGCACGGGCCCGAGAGGACTTGCCGTGCATCTTTTTTCACTGCTGTGATGTTTGGGAGGTGCCGCGTGCTGGCCTGCACCGTGGAGTTTCCGAGAATCTTTCCTTCTCATGTGGCCATCTATCAAAGTTCAAGATCATGCAGGAAGAGTAAGATGTGTGGGGCCAGCAGGCGGCAGGTGGTCGAGGCCCCAGATCCCACACAGCCAATTGCAGTTCAGGTCCTGGACCCAGTGACTTGAAAATTACATCGGATACGTGTGTGCGCGCTCAGAATCCCGAGAGGAGAATGGAAGAGAAGGGATGGCATGGCCATCACCCCTGGGGGGCGATTTCTCATTTTCTGTCTCTCTGGTTAGTGCACATGCCCTAAGGGCAAAAATCATTAAGAAAGGATATGTTGTATTTGTATTAACCTATATTTCTGCCTTTTCTTTTTCTTTCTAGACTTGGGAAGATCCCCATCAAAAAGACAAGAGCACAAACTGCTGTGGCGATAACGACCCCGTTGACGTCTGTGAAATAGGCTCGAAGGTTCGTTTCTCAGACCGTTACTTTTGACATCGCTGTGGTTTCTTCCCGCCATGAAATTTCATGTCAGCCTCCAATTCTTCACCTCTTCCAAGTTCGAGCCTGTTGATCCCTCTGGTATCAGACCCTTCCCATATCTCTGCGCCCTCCTCTCAAGCCAGTGGTCGGTAAGCTGCAGCCCCACCGTGGGTCAGACGCGGCGTGCTCCCGTTTTACGAACACCGCCTCTGCCGCTCAGGTGTCTGCTGCTGATGGCTGCCTTTGCCCTGCGGTGGCGGAGCCATCCCAGAGATCGGGCAGTCCACAAAGCCCGAAATAGTCACCACCTGACTCTTGCGAGCCGAGTTTGCCAAGTCCCGTCTTTCACTTCTTGTCTAGTATCCTGACGGAAACTTCAGCCCTGGTGGACCACCTGCCTGCAGACTGCCAGGTCCGCTGGGGAAGGGCACGGTGCAGGCGCCCGGACGCCCCGTCCACGCTGCGTGTCAGTGCTCGTCTACTTGCTGCTGCATCGTTGCGGTGTTCCTTCTCAGCACACAGCGCTTCTCACTGCCAGCAGAGCTTCCGTCTTTAACTTTGCTGAGCTCGTGGAGGCTCGTAGGGAAGAACTCCCTCCCCTCTCCCTCTGCCTAATGACCTGCCCACGCATGTCAGCATCATTTCTTCCCTTTCTTGTCACCGTGAGAGTTGCCGTTTCTGAGACAAGACCTTCCCGTGCTCCAGGTCCTGCTCCTTCTGCCTTTAGCTTAGGGGTGACATTTTCTTCTTCTCTTTCCTTTGCTAACAACTTCTCTTGCACTGTTGGCTTCCTCATGTACGTTGTCTCTTCTGCACCTGTTCACGAATTTCCCACACAGATCTCATCTCCAGTCCCCACTCAGCCTTCAGCAATGTTTTCCTATCCCCTAATTATTTCTGTAAAACATCTGTCTCCGAAGTCACCAGTAACTTCATTTCAGCCAACTCCGGCAGGCCTGTCTTACAGACTCTAACTTGAATTTGTTGGAATGTTCTGTATCGTTGACCTCTTTGTCCCTGAGTTGTTGGTTTTTTTTTTTTATGTAAGAATTATGTGTTTAGTTATATTTATTATTATTTTTAAATTAGACCAGGAGAGACAGACAGAGAGAGAGAAAGGGAAAGTAAGAAAGCAAGCCGCTGGGTCTGGGACTCGAACTTCAGTCAGTTGTGTGGAAGCCCGGCTCCTTAGCCACCACACCACACGCCGGTCCTCTGGTCCTTTAGCCTTAGTCAGGTGTTTGCCATCTGCTGTTCTGTACCACAGCCTGGAACTTCTGACCATTCCCATTCCTCCCTCTCGGCTTCTATCCAAGTTCCTGTCCTCTGCTCCTTCAGTGCGGGCCGGTTAGCTGGAGACTCCTGTCCTTGTGGAGCTCATTTTCTGCACATGGAGCGTTCCTCGATGGTCCAGCCCCAGGACTGGTTTTGCCCTCAGTGACAGCGTCCGTTCAGACCCGAGTCCTCAGCTGCCGAGGTCTGCACTGGGACGTCTCCCAGGCTTCTCAAACTCACCGTGTTCAAAACTGAGCTCCCTGTGTCCCCTCTCCAGTCTGCGGCTCTCAGTGAGTGGTATCTCTCCTCCCACCCCGCCCCAGTTCTTAAGCCAGAGCGAGGGTCGTTCCTGGTCGTCGTATCTCGTCTCCGCGGTCACGTGTCCCTGTGTGCGTCTCTCCCTCCCACTGCTGCTGGGTCTGTGCCGTCCACTGTTACCTGTCCCCTGAGTCGTTCCCACGCGATTGCCTCCCTTCCCTCTCCCCGGACTCTTGTCTTCCTCACTCTACACTGGCCTCGCCGCTCCTTCCGCTCGCTAGCTGGTCGGGCTGCGCTGCTCTGTCACCTCCACGCGGCCTCTGCCCATGCCCTCCCAAACGCGAGGTTTTAATTTTGTATATACAGTCACATTAATCTTTTGTGTAAACTGATTCCTACTTCATGCAAATTTGTGTTAAGATCTTAGGATCAAGGGACCAGTAGATGACCTAATGGTTACATCTGGACTTTCATGTAGTTGACCGTGGTTCAGGTCCCAGGCCCGGTGACTTAAAACTCACACCAGGTGCATGTGCATGCGTGCCCAAGATCCCAAGAGGAGGATGGAGGAGAAGGGATTGTGGCATAGCCATCCCCCCAGAGGGTTATTTTTTGCTTTCTGTCTCTGTCTCCCTTGCAAGTGCACACACTCTATAGCAAAAATCTCTAGAAAGAAAAAAAAAATCACCTTAAGATCAGGCCAGCCAGCAGCGTGGTGGTTAAAGCGGCTGGATCCCACGTGGCTGACTGCACTGTTAGCATCCCAAACTCAGTGGCTTGAAAAGCATACCAGGTGTTTGCACATGTGCCCAAAATCCCAAGAGGGGAATGGAGGAGAGGGGAGTGCAGTGTAGCCATCCCCCCTGAGGGAGTGTTTTCTCACTTCCCCCCAGCCTCCCTCTCTGGTGAGCTCATGTGCCCTATAGCAAATATTGGGGAAAAAAAAGAAGAAGAAAATATTTTAGCATCATTTTGCCTATGTTCTGAAAAGATATGTCATTATAGTTTACTTTTTTCCCTCAAAACAAATAATCCCAGGATACTGGGGTGACTATTTTATATACCTTGCTTTCCAAACGTAAACCTGCATGCGTTCAGGTTCCAGCTCATGGTGAAATTCTGTAGCCGACCAAACCTTTCAAGATAAAAGGACCTTCCAGAGCGCAGGCACGTAAACTTGGCAACGGGAGGGGACCGCGGAGAAAACCTCAGGCACGTGGGGCATCTGCTTCTGGATCTCAGAACCCTTTTGAAACATTTTACGAAGCCTGTTTTGTCTAAATCTTTAACAAACGAATAATTCTTTCCTTGTCATTCATTACATTCTTAAGGCCATCTTCTGGTATGCTTCCCTTTTCACTAGTAACGGTAAGTGTGGTTCACCTACACTGCGGAGCACTGTAGGAAGGCCGCCAGGTCTCCTCCTGTAAGCACCAGGAGCCAGGTGTGCGTTATGTCATGATGTGTGTGGTTGATTTCCTGAAGAGTGTAAGTTTCTAGTCTGGAGATATCTGAGATTTCAAGATTTACAAGTAACTTCGCTTTTAGCACCAAATTGCAACAGGTTTAAACTACCTGCTTTCTTAGTGCTGGATTTGTAAAATATATGGGTTATGTTTTTACTTGTAAAAGTGGTGCGATTTTGATTTTTTTTTTTGACTAGAAAATGTCCCTCGACACTGAAATTACTTTTTAAAAATTTTTCCATTTTCAAATGTTGATGATTATATGAAACTTTGTAGGTAGACATAAAACGAATGAGTTATATCTATACTGAGAATTTCAAGTTCTTCAAAGATAGCTGGTGTCTGAAAAACGTAATTTCACATATTCTGACCCGTTTTGGGTTTGCTTGCAGGGAAGGCAGGCTTTTTAATTAGTGACTCCATCATGAGTGGAAGTGGGGATTTTGAGATGCTTACTTCTAAAAGGGACATCACAACATGGGCTTTAGGACTGTTTCTACATAATTTCTAATTATCGAAGCTTTATTAAGCTTCAGTCTGTGGTGCTTTTAACCTTTCAGAGGTCTTTGTGATACGCGGCTAAACTCCCCAGAGCCTTGCAGACGGTGAGCTTCTTTTCTCTTTAAGGTTCTTTCTCGTGGCGAGGTCGTTCCTGTGAAGATCCTTGGAATTCTGGCTCTCATTGACCAGGGTGAAACAGATTGGAAATTAATCGCTATCAATGTGAATGATCCTGAAGCCTCAAATTTTCATGGTAGGTCTGTAACTTTCTGGTAGACAGAAGTGAATGAGCATGCCATCGGTATCCGTAGAACCTGAAACAGGCTCACATAAAAACACAGCGTATGTGTTTGGGAGTCAAATTTACGTTTTGTATTTTTATTCTCTCCTGCTCAGGAAGTTCATAGCCAATACATGTTACGAAATACCCATGTGTGAGTTTCAAAGGTTTTCTGCACCAAAACGAATTTGTACTTTAATTCCATTTTCCCCATATTTCTGGAAGACTCCTCAGCTGAAGGGCAATCCGGTACAATGCGCCTGTGCCCCGTTGTATTGCCGAAGGATCAGAAGAGGAGAAGGTCCAGAGACAGACGTTAATGATACTGTGACCTGAGGAAGTACCTTCTCTGGGTTCCTTCTTTCCTTTTCTTCCTCTCCTCTCCTGCCTTCTTTCTTTTTGTCCCTTCTCCCCTCACCACCCTGCTCTCCCGCCCTCCTTATTTCCTTTGATAGTGATGGCTCAACTGCAGTTGGCAACTGTGACTGGGAATTAAAATACGCCGTGGTGGCAGGACCAGCAGTTGGCGTAATGGCTCTGGCTATGTTGCTGGACTCCCATGTAGTTGACTGCCACGGGGGATGGCCACGCCTCAATCCTCCTCCTCCATTCTCCTCTCGGGATCTTGCGCATGTACACACATGCGCCCAGTGTGAGTTTAAGCCACTGGATCCGGGACTCAAACTGTGGTCAACTACGTGGGAATCCAGCAACATAGCCATTACACCAATTGCTGGCCCCAGGCCCTGATGCTCTTAATGATGCCTTAATGGCCTTGAACGAGTTAATGACCTCCCAGGGTTCCAGAATGGCCAGTGGAAAACGCCCTGGCCATTGATAATAGTGCTTGGTGATAGAATACCCGCGTTCAGAGCTTTTCTAGAAGGTTGGAATGCGAGGGCACGTGTAACCTCTCTCTGGTTAAATAGACCCCCTTCTGAAATGCAGAACTTTGTTCACCAGTGAGATGTTTGGGGCTTGTCAGAAAAGCCAGAGATCAGAACTTTGTGTGTTCACCAGAGGGATGTTTGGGGCTTGTCAGAAAAGCCAGAGATGCCAGAGGACCTTATGTCATGGGGAGGTCATTTAAGGCTGGGCGGGACGACAACTTGCAAAGCAATGAAAATGTCTTCCGTTTATTCTGTATATAAAATAACTATCATCTGTGGCCCTGCAACCACTATCGCATGTGCAGTGGTTTCACAGTGTGTGTTCACCAGAGGGATGTTTGGGGCTTGTCAGAAAAGCCAGAGATGCCAGAGGACCTTATGTCATGGGGAGGTCATTTAAGGCTGGGCGGGACGACAACTTGCAAAGCAATGAAAATGTCTTCCGTTTATTCTGTATATAAAATAACTATCATCTGTGGCCCTGCAACCACTATCGCATGTGCAGTGGTTTCACAGTTTAATAAATAAAAGGTCTGAAAACAAAAATTGAAATTAGAACAATTACGTTGATGTGGGAACAATCTGGATGAATTTTGAGAGAACTGCAGCTGTGTGTCGCGCAGTGGCGGTCATGTTCTGGCCGGGCACTGGCAGAGTGCTCATCGCCGTGCCAACGTCGCATAGCACGCTGCACAACCCGGGTGGTGTGCTGCTGCACACCTGGGCAGCGGGCATAGGCTGTGGGTCCTGGTTGCAAACCCGTGCAGCCTCGCGTTACCGTGCTGAGATCTACAGGCGTCCGCCATACGGAGGTAACTGTCCAGGCATAAGAAAGGTAGAAAAGGGGACAGCAGGAAATGCAGTATAAGAGATGAAAGGAAATGGTGACCGGATTGCTCCGGGTGAGCCACTGAGGGCCAGTGAGAGGAGCCGGGACATTCCTGCACGCTCCTGCAAACTATAAACGCCGTCTGCTGCCTGGCCTGCAGCCCGCGCAACGGACCCGGCTCCCCATGACTGACTGCCATTCGAACTCTGGCTCTGTGGGCTTAAAAATCACCCAGGGCACACGTGCGTACATGCTCAAAATTCCGACAGGTTGGAGAAATGGAGGAGGGGTCCTGCCGTGCCTGTGAACCAAGGCAGGGGCACTTTTTTTTTTTTTTAATGCTAGAAGACACACATGCGAACACACAAGGGAAAGAAAAAGCAAGCAACCCCCAGTGGGGCCCGGTCATGCCGTCCTTTTCCTGTGTTTCTCCACCCCATCAGAGCATGTGCGTTCGTGCCTGATGTGGTTTTCAAGCTCCTGAGACTGGGACTTGAACCTGGCTGGCCATGGAATCTAGCTTCCCCTTCCCCACGCTCAACCGCCCTGCCCCTAAGCTAAACTGTTACATGCTTCAAATTAAAAGTAGAAAGGCCTGCCTGGTACCAATTCATAAACTATTAACATTTGTTAAACTTTCCTACTCTTTTACAATAACACTTAACACACGAACATTATATAGCTGCACACAAGTATGTTCTTTACATTCTTCCCTATAAGCTTCTTTATTTTTAAATATTTTCTTTTTCACTCTTTTTGAAAGTGTTTCGATACGGTGCATGTCCTAACCAGAGAGAGAAAGGGAGTGGGAAGGTGAGAAAGCACCCCCAGGGTAAATGCCCACACTGCGTTCCCTCCTCCTCCATTCTTCTCTCGGGAGTTTAGGCACACACACGTACCTCCAGCACGCTTTCAAGCCACCAGGTCTGGGACTCGAACCGCGCTGTCAGCCATGTGGGATCCAGCCACCTTAACTACCATGCCACCTGCCAGCCCTTTTTTCCTTTCAGACTTTTTTGTTGAAACTAGGACACAAACACAGGCTTTAGTCTAGGTCTCCACAGAGTCAGGACGCAGTGTCCTTGTGTCTTTCCACTGGGAGGGGGGTGAACAAAACCGCACGAGTTGAAACCACGCAGAGGAGAAAATGACAGAGCCATGAGACACCGTCAACCCGAGAGGCGTGAGCTGCTGCCCACGTGACACGGCGGCTGTCTTGAACTTCTTGTCCTGGGTAGACGGAGCGTGCTCTCCCGTACCCGAACAGAGCGAGGTGCGGCGCCCACGGTGTAGGCCGGGATCTCCACTGCCCACCATCAAGCGTGGGCGCATGCAGAGATGTTTGAGCTATGCTTCGGAGCACCTGGCAGCATGCCAGCTGTGTTTACAGCAGGCACGTCACGACACGTGTCACAATGCCTTGCGCTGTGGCATCACCATGGTTACGGTGTCACCAGGCACTCCAAGTCTTCAGCTCCTTACAGCCTTCTACGGCCAGCACTGCACACGCCGCGCATTGCTAACGACACGTCACGCAGCCCGTGCCTACGGAAACGAGATGGCTGGGACTTCGGAGGGCCGGCGTCACACGTCCTAAGCTCTGAGCTCACTTGTTCCCCGTGTGGGAAAAGTAAGGGCCAAACGTGACTACATGGTTCCTTTTATTGTCTTTCAAGGCAGGAAAATGTGTTGAAACCAAATTTATTTGGCTTAGATTTTCATTTGCTAAGTAAACACTCTAGCACTCCTGAAATTAATTTTAAAACAAACATATTAATATGTTGTTTGATTCTTCTTCTCCCTAAAACACAATTTAATACCATCATTTTAAAAGGGGAGGGGCAGCAGGTGGCATGGTGGTTAAGATGTTGGACTTTCACCTGGGTAACCACAGCTCAAGTCCTGGACCTGGCAGCTTAGCCAACAGGAGTTCAGGTACAGAACCTGGAGGCTTGCTTTCTCACTCACTCCCTGCCCCCTCATTCTGTTCCTCTCTGATCAAATTAAAATAGTCCTATAGCAAATTAAATCAATAATAATACATTTGGGGCTGGCAGGTGGCATGGTGTTAGGGGCACTGGACTCCCACATGGCCAATCACGGTTCAAGTCCCGGACCTGGCAGCTTGCTTTCTCACTTTCCCTCTCTTTCTCTCTCTCACTCTGTCCCTCTCTGGTCAAATTAAATAAATATGTAAATAAGTAAATAAATAAATTTAAATAAAATGATTTTTTAAAAATAATTAAGTACTTCTTTTAAAAGAGTAATCTTGGAAAAGAGTTGTGCTGGTTTTCGTAAGTGCAAAGAGCAGTTTTGTTTGCTCCCCCGAATGTGCCGGGAGCCAATAGCAGGTACTTTTTGCCCTGGAAAGGGACCTGGTATGTCACGCTTGTGTTTGTCACACTCACAGTCTTTAGAGCCGTGACGAATGTGTGCTTAGAAACTAACCTAAGTGCTTCTTTTGGAACATCTGGTTTGATCTTCGCACAACTTCAACCAGCATTGCTATCTTTCCCATTTCCCCTCAGATAAGGCAACCTGCATGGGTGTGGGGAAGGCAGAGGGACTGGCTGGCCTGAGGTCACCGTCTACACCCCAGCCCATCGGGGTCCAGAGCCCAGGCTCCTCAGTGCAGCCCTCTCCTCTCACCCCCGCCTCTGGAAAAGCTCGCATGTTTGGTCTTGGACGTGGATAGCATCTCACTCTAATCATTTGCTCTTGAGCCACGTAGGCGTTAGTGGGGTGCAGATAATTAGAAGCCCCCATGGGACCAGCAGTTGGCCTAATGGCTATGTCGCTGGACTCTCATGTAGTCGACCGTGGTTCGCCTCCCGAACCCTGTGGCTTAAACTCATGCCGGGCGCGTGTGCGTGCATGCCCAAGATCCCGAGAGGAGAATGGAGGAGAAGGGATTGCGGCGTGACCATCCCCCCTGGGGGGTGATTTCTCGCTTTCTGTCTCTCTGTCTCTTCTCTATCTTTCTGGTGAGTGCACGCGCCCTAAAGCAAAAACCTCTCTCCTCCACCCCCCCCGCCCGTAAAAAAGAAATACTTTTAATCCACTATTTTTAGCCTCTCTTCCATAAGTAGAAAGACCTAGATTAGCTTCAAAGTTACTGCCAAAGGAAACAGTTTAAATGAAAGGCTCATGGGTCCTTTCCTGGGGACACTGGCCCATTTGTAGTGCTTCAGGGCAGAGGCTGAGCAGTGGGGCAGGGACTCACTTTGTTACGTGCTTCAGATTAAAATTAGATT